CATGAACTCTAGGTGCAGAGTCCCCGTCCAAACACATTCTGTGCTTCGAGGCGCTCAGCAGCGGAGGGAATCGTGAGTCGGAATACGTGGAATGCCAAGCCCACGTTTGCTGCTCGTGGAAATCTGGGTGCGCAGACGTCGAACTTGCTTAAAACGCGGTGTCTGACGGGACGATGTCTCCTGCCAGCACGAGTTCTCTTTCTCTCTTGGCTGAATATGAATCCAAAGCCTCTTCATGCTGTAAATTTACCATTATATTAGATCTTGCTCAAAGATCAGTGTAAGTAAGGCTGTTTGAACATGGGCAGTTTGCCTGTTCATCTGTAGGAAAAGCTCCATTTCATGACCAGAACAAGATTATTTTTATACTCAAATTAGAACAGTGGTGTTACAAGGAGACAGACTAGCGAGAAGTCGAGGACATCTGGGAACAAAACGGGAATCCCATATGTTCACCCCGGAAAAGAAATCACAAAATTGAATGAGGATGAACCCTCCTTGACTGACCTCGTGGATGGTCGGGGTGTGCTGTGCCCTGTGGGGTGTCTGGCAGCCTCCCTGACCCCTACTCTCTGGACACCAGTGGCATGCATGCCCCCCTCAGGCAGTGACCCCCAAATGTCTCCAGACATGACCCCACGACCCTGGGGCGGAGGGCAAACTCGCCCCGGCTTGAGAGCCACGGGCCTAGAGACAGAACAGGAATCCCATGTGTTAGCACCAAAACAGGAGAAAAACCCGTTAGTTTTGACGAGCAGAAGAAAATAAAGGTAACTCCCCATCACCCGTGTTGTCCCTCTGCCTCACCTGAGCAGGTGTGCTGCGTCTCGCACTCCCGCAGGTGCTGGTCCTTGACGACTCACCTGTGGACGCTGGCGAAGGCGGCTTTTCTGGATGCTCCTCATATTCTGGCACCACCCCTTCCCGGGGCTCCTCCGGCTCGGCGCTCAGTCACTGTGTCCAGGGAGACCCACTGCAGCAGGGCAGGCGGGGACCCCGGGCAGGGGAAAAGGCAGAGGCCCATGCCCCCCTCGTCTGTGCCGTCCCCGCAGTCCTACACGCTCGGCCGCACGTGCGCCAGACAAGCTGGTCTGTCGAATCCCCTACTTACAAGGCCCTCCAGACCTCAAACGGAGGTCACCTGGGATGAAATTCCCAGCCAGCAAGCCACGCAAAAGGGTGCTGAACTGTTGCTGGGAGGTGCAGCCAACGCGGAGGGGTAGCTCAGTCCCTGACTTCTGCGGGTGGCTCCTGTGGGGTCTGTGCTCCCAGCCTTTTGTTTTCTTGCTCCGCACCCTGGCCCCCTGGCCGGGCTCCAGGCAGTGCGGTTATACAAGCCTCCCTGCAAAGGCGCTAACCCCTCCCTCCCTCCTCCTCTGTGAGTCCAACCCTGTCATCGGAGCTCTGGTGACCTCTGAGAGGGCATGTGGGCCGCTCCAGCCCTCTGCAGGCATCGCCTGGCGTCTGTGCACCTAACAACCAGCTTCCCCCTCCCACCCGGCTCCCAGCCTGGTGCTGGGTCTGCGGGAGCCCACTGGGCAGGCCGGGATGCCCAGAGGACTGCGAGCCCCCTGCCCCTCCCACATTCAGGGTCACCCTGGAAGCTCCAGGGTCACAGCCCTCCACTGACAGGTGGCCCTGACTGCCCCTCCATCTTGGAACCCAGACTGCACGTTCTTATCAGAACCGGGCAGAAGTGTCCCCAGACGCGGCCTGGAAGGCGAAGGAGGTACCAGGGATCCGCCCGGAAGGACCAGGATGTGATTCCCCCAGACACGTGAACAGTCCGTGCCTTCATCCCCACAAGAGCTGTCTGGCAGCAGAGAACTCACTGACCCGCCTTGCAAGGGTTAATGCTTTTGGGCTCGGAGATGCAGGGAGCAAACCCAGGCAGAGCCAGGCCCCTGCCAGCTGTCCGCTCCCTCCTTCCAGCCAAACAAGCACGGCCACTCGGCCCGCACAGGCGCAGGCGCATCTGTGTGCACGCATGTGCGTGCGTTTGTGTGTGGGAGAGCCGTGCCTGTGCGCAGGGGTGTGTGTGCGTGTGTGTGAGAGCCGTGCCCGTGCGCAGGGG